GGGGGGGGGGGGGGGGGGGGGGTAGTTATTCCTCTTTTCCTTAAAATTTATATGTTAGGGTGAGTTCAATTGCGAACATGAAATTTACATAAAAAGATAATAAATTCTAGACAATTCAATTACCTAGAACTTATTTGTATGACAATTATTAATTAAATGTGTTTGATTGAAAGAGAAGATAGGTGGAGATAGAGAGAGTGAATGAAAATAAAAAACACATCCCTAGAAAAAATATTTTCCTTATTTCTGAGAAAAATATGATCACATAACAAAAGTTGGAAAATATTTTTCATGAAAAAATTTGTCAATCAAACACCCCAAAAGTAGAAATTTGAGTGGAAAACAAAGCCAATCAAACATTCTTATATCTTTCCGGGAGGAATATGGAGCATTCAGGGGAAAAACTAATTACTGAACCGTGATTTTAGTAATTTATGCTTACGAAATCAACAGCAGATTTCTATACGAAAAGGAAAGGAAAGGAAGAGCAATATTGTACCTCCCCAGTAAATTGGACGGTTGTATACTTGTTATCAATTCCAGATGTCCCTTCGAAAACCTAATCATGAGAACAAGGGAACAGAAAATCAGCTCTGTTTATGAAGAATGCTGAAGGTTTGGAGTTACTGGAATTTAAATTTAAGATACAAGTTACTCAAAAAATTCAAGGAAAAAAAGGCCTCGACATAATCACTTCTAAATGATAAATAAAGGAGTTATAGGCAAAAACAAGAAGCATCTGGCTACTGCTTGCAAGGAAGAAAACTAATTCAGGTAAACAAACTGAGCCTAAACTCACTTAAATTAATAGTGAGGTTAACATAATGAAATGTATCGATACATATTAAAAATCTGTAAGGGATGCATAGATAATAACCTGAACAACTGCTTTCTCCCCATCAACTTCCAGGACTTGTCCACGTCGAGTTGTTCCATCTCCCAAGCGGATATTCACAATTTCTTGATACTTAGGTCCCTGAAATAATTCCATAGAAAACATATCCAATCAAGTTCCCAATAATGTATATGGATATCCATATAAAAAATACAAGTACGAGAACAAATGCAGAAAACAAAACAATATTCACCTTAACTTTCTCAAGGATAACCAGTGGTCCAGCAACTCCAGAGACAGTTCTGTACTCTGAAAAATAAAACGCATGGAAGTCTACATCAATAATATGTATGATGCAAATATATGAGATGATATTCAGAAAAGAAAATATACCAAAAATTCAGAAGCCCAACTAAACAAGATAACAACACAACATATATTCTTATAGGTCTTTCAGATCAATCACTCAGCCGGTTCACATATTTCACTCTTAGGGGGTGTAAAAGAAACTAAAATCCATCCCTTTCAGTGCACAGAGAATTCATCCACCCACCACCCCTGATTTGTTGAAACAGGGAATATAGAGTTGATGAGGGGAGGATAAATTAACATGTCCATATATTACACGGGGAAGAATTTAAACAGCAAGGTTCAACATCAAGAGGCAAATTATCTTTTATATTTTCTTCTTAGAGAATTAAAAGAGACCAAATATACGATAGGTTTGCTTCCAAGTTTTTTATTTTGCAACTGCTGGGGTTGCCTCAGACCTGTATCCAGGATGAAAGGCTCAAAGTCAATTCACCAATGCAAGAATCACGTATTATGGAGTCCCAGAAATCTTGAGCATAACAAATGATACTAAGAAAGACCTTCCTAGAAGTCATAAGCACAGAAGCAATATGGGGAGAAAGCGAGCTTTAAAAGTATTGACACGTTAACTTTAAGATTTTCCCCCCTTTTCTGTTGACATGGAGATAGTAAGACTTGAAAACAAGAACAATGTACAAATCTATCTGAGCTCTGGTGCATACAATTTACCATGCACTAGACAACAAATTGGACTCAGGCCTTCTGCAAAAAGCTACAAGTAAAAAAATGTTCCGGTGAAATCCAGCATCTGCAATATTTTTATATTTTTCCACTTTGATCTTCTAAATGCTATTGATGTAGCACAGATTATATTCATGGACCTGTAGTTAGTGATAATTAGCTAACACAATATGCATTGAGCTAATTCACTAAAGCATGCTAACATTTAAAATAGCTGCAGGTAAGATTAAACATTACTGATAAAAACGAGTTTAACTAATATATTCATATAATGTCATAATGGACATAGTTCAAAATATTTTTCTCTGTGCAGGTGGTGATATGTTACCGCTCATTATATGGTATGAAAAATGTACATCGTGCAAAACGGTGCATCAAATGAAGTTTTTTCTTGCTATATAAAGAAAAATGTGAATAATCTGCCAATCATGTATTGCATGCTTTTTCCTTGAATTAAATTGTAAAGATACAAAATAATCATTTTTTGTTTGCATCTTTTTTTCATAAGCTACCAACAATTCCATCAAACATAC